GGCTGAGTGATTTTCACTCGCCTCATAATTCTCCTTTAAAAGGCCCATTTTTTTATACTAGAGGCCGGTCTGAAAAGTGCTTTGGGTCCCTATAAGGTTTTGCAACTTTAACTGGTTTGTTATATTCAGATCCGTTGTCAGCAAGCACCTTCACGCCAGCAAGAGGCACAGCTGCATCCCCCGTTTCCTACTAAGGTCAAGTGGACAAGAAAAAGGGGAGTGTTCACTGCCAGGTACACACACACACGGAATCAATAGCTAGATCGTTATTGGCTATATCAATTTGCAATAGCCGACTAGCTATTGTACCCGCCCACTGCTACTGTCAATCAGCAGAGGAGGACCTGTTGGAGAACTTTATTCAAGTCCATCTCTGATGATTGACAGCAGCAGTGGGCGGGTGCAATAGCTAGTCTATCGGCTATTGCAAATTGAAATAGCAAATAGAAGACCAGCTATTCATCGCTATGCTTTTTTATTTTCTCTCTAACTGACAGTGGCCACGATGTCAGAAAAAAAACAAAAAACCAGGACACCCAAAAAACAGAACGCAGGGAAAGGTTTACCTCCCGGGCAGCCAGGAGCCGCCATCTAATAGCAGGAGATTTCCGGAACGTCCTGGAGAGTTGGGACGTCTGAATATATGCATCTATCCACCCATCATGATGATGTAGCTGAATGAGGGTGGGGGGATGCAAAATAGTGCACTGTAGTTTCTAAATTAACACCTCTGAATTCCGCTGTCTATCCAACTTTTGCATATGACAGGATTCTTGGCATGAACGCATGTTTAAGATGGCCAACTGCATCAAACTATTCCCTTTCTTGTCCAGTTCCTACTATACTGTGCACACATGGTAAATACTTGTTGCTTCTAGCATACTTTGGTGGACATCTAGTGCCAATTTGGGGCAGACAGACACCATTGGAGGAGAGGTACATAGACTCAGAAGTCTGTGCCTACCTACTTTGGAGATGGGCAGAGATCGATTAATCTTTTTCTCTTTCCCCCTTTACCATTAGAGCCTCCCATCTGGAGATACTGAACCATCTTTGCCTCGCTTCCCTAGAGTGCCCCCAAGTGGAAGTGGGATTACATACCTGAGATTGGCAGTCATGTTGAAAGCCTTAGTCACTCCATTCAGGCAGGTATTGGAGGCGGTGGACAAGGATAGGGAGAAAGCAGAGTTGTCTTTCGGTATCGGGATATTGTATTTGATTACGGTCTGAAAGGAACAAACAAAAAAACCCAATTTGTTAAATAACACCTGCCACAGCAGTTAAGCAGATATTGGGAATTCCATAGCCCATGTCTGATTTACTTTAAAACAAATGAAATTGTGTCGGTAACATTTTATAAAGTTATCTTGCAAAAAAATAAAAATTATTATATATATATACTAATATGTGTGTGACATCGCCGAGTTCACATGTAAACGAAAAAAAAATCATCTGCCTCACTCTACATTTAGCTCGGCTTGTACAAAGCAGGACTGAATGTAGAGAGGGCAACTTCCCCACAAGGACATCGCTGCCGCCCCTCTGCGCCCTGCCTCCCCTAGGCCGGGCCTCGGTGGCCTTGAGGGGAATCTGGGCCTAGTTACACTCTGCATTTGGTGATGAAGCACCATCGCAAGCAACTATCTTCCGATGGTTTAGAGAATTTAGAAGGGGCCGTAGTTTGCTACAGGATGACAAACATACGGGTAGGGCCGCTACGGCAGTCATTTCAGAAAACGTGACCCGTATCCAGAAAATGATAGACGACAACTGTTCTCGTTGCAGCTTCATGACTCGTCACTTTGTGATGCGTCTTGCGACTGCTGGAATAGGCCTGACGGAATGAAAGTTTTTCAGATGTTGAATTTTAACACATGTGCAAAGAATTCATAAACTACCTATGTTTTGAATATCTCAAACATTTCAGATAGATTACACACACACACACACATTTTATTATAATCTCTACTTACCTATTACACCCTCAAAACCATCTTAAACCACCTTAAGCCCTCATTCACACAGGAATCGACCCGCACGTACAGCTCCATGCACAGCCGTACCGAGTAGCTCCCGGGAAGGCCAGGTGCTGCGTGCGATTACTACGCAGCCCCCGTCCTTCTCTATGGGACTACGACGCTCTACGCCCACCTCAAGTGAAGTTCCGTAGGGGTGCGCGTTTCCTCACTCGGACGCAGACAGGTACCATGAGCATAAGGGGGCGTACGGCCGCGTAGTCCCCTAGAGAAGGACGGGGGCTGCGTAGTAATCACACTCAGCACCTGTCCTTCCCGGGAGCTGCTCGGTACGCCCCTGCATGCAGCACAGAGCTGTACACGCTCTACTTCCTGGAACTCTGGCACATGTGACTAGGACATTTAACCATGCGCATCATCTCAGGGGAGGGAAAATGCCTTTGCCTGAGATCTGATGAGATTACAGATAATTTCCCAGCAATGCTCTGCTGACGCAACGCTTGGGCACATATTACATCACTAATGCCCAAGAGGACCAGGAAGTGGAAACAATAATGATTGGTAAAAATAAAAGAAAAATATGTTTAATGTATGCAAGTTGATTTCATATCAGCATGCAGAGCCACATGCGGAGGTGATTTTTAGTGAAAGGGGGTAAAAGGTCCACATTCATTTCAATTTCCCACTTCACTTCAAGTGCACTTCACCAAAATGTTGACATTTTGGCAAAACATTGCTGCCAGTTATGCTCACCCCTGATCTCAGGAGACTTACAACATGCAATGAATCCTTGTGGCATTACCTGGATCAGACTCCATCCGTTCCCTTCTACATCCAAGCTGTAGTCACCGCTAGCATCTGGCAAATCGTATCTCTGCACCAGCAGCCGGTTTTCAGGACTCAAGTTCAGGTTCCCAACATTTCCATTGCGGTTTTTGATCCGAATGGTTTGCTGGGAATTCGGAGTGTACAGCAGCTTTGCAAAAGCAGCGAGAGCCTGGAGAGCGACAACCGTGTCCTAGCAGACGGAGACATAAATCGTTAGGATAACTCAACTTCTTAAACCTCTTTCACAGCTAGAATGAAAATGAACCGTGAACCCGCCAACGATTATTGGACTTCCACAATATCCATAATTACCGATGTAGAGGAGAACCCTCCATGAGCGTTCTGCTGCCGAGTGAGCCACAGGGACATCTGAGCCATTGTTGCCAGGACTTTTTCAGATACAGGGGGCGCTACAATTGATTTCGGTTTCTTGGACACCGATGCCGGGGTAGTCGGTTTAACATTCGCTTGAATCATGCTTAGTAACATGTAAGCCGTGAGCTGCACCTCAGCTGAGTTATATATAGGAAAGAAGAATGGAACTGGCCGCAATGTAGGCATGTCTTCTCTTTCCCAGTGTATTGTGCCATCTGTAAAGAAAAAAGGTCAGTGTAAGTGTAAAGACAATTGGGATGTTTGGGCTTATTTATAAAACAAGTTCAATTTGACATTTCACCATATATAGTCACTGAAGGAGAGTCTTCCTGCATGTATTTTAAAATGACAACTTGATTCCCCACCAGTGAATGTTTAGCGACAGTCACCTGAACTGCTTCATAAAAATATTCCCTACAGTGCAAGCCCTTATTTTATTCTGTATTTGGCTGTGAGTGAAATATCCTGAAGATCTATTTCTGCTAAGTATGTTCTGAAAAGAAATTATTAAAAAAGGAGAACTATGAGGCGAGTGCTTTTCACTCACCTCATAGTTCTAGCCGACCTGTGACAATGAGACTGTCACAGGTCGGCTCAGTAGATCGGGAGGTGAGCGAACACATACCGGCGTCCGCTCACTTCTCGATCCTGTCACGGCCCTCTGCCGTGACAGGGGAGGGG